GGCTCGGGCGGGGCCTCGGGCCGAAGCGCGGGGGTCGTCGCGCGGACGGCGGACGTGCCTGGGTTCGCGGCTTGTCGGTCGCTCGCCGGAGAGCAACTCGGGGTTTCCCGGCCCTGCCGGGCAGGGCGCTGCGTGCGGACGCCCAGCCGGGGCCGGGCCTGCGGAGCTCTGCGCCCGGCGTGGACCCCGCGGCCCGCACCGGGACGGGGGTGGCTGGAGAGTCCGCCGGGGCCGTGCTTGCTTCCGAGTGGGCCTTCCGGGACCCGGCGAGGTGGGCCGTGCGGTGAGGAGACTGCGGGGCGGGGGCGGAGCGGCCGAGCTCCACAGCCGGTGAGGACGGACTCAGACGCGGCAGTCTGGCCGAGGGTGGGGTTCTTACGTTGTTTGGCACTGACAAGAGTTGCCACAGGGGTGCGAAGATTTCCCCTGTACCTTTGCCGAGATTCCCCAGAACGTTCCGCTCGCCTTGCCACCGTTTCTTCAGCAAACGAGGACACTCGCGCTGACGCAACCGCGGTCTGCTCCCTGGGTTTCTTCAGGCTCGGCGGCGGGGGCCTTTGGCGCCTGGACTCGCTCACGGGGTCCCGCGAGCACCGTTCGTGTTTCCCTGCTCCTCCGCAGGCTGCAGCAGTTCCTCAGTCCCGCTGTGACTGTCACGCGTCCGTGTTCCATAGAAGGCTCTCAGTGGGGGTTTATCTGGTGTTTGCTCACGAGTGCTTTCAGTTATGCGTTTTGGGTGAGAAAACCTCGACAGTGAAATTGTGTTCTCAGTGCGTCTTCTCGGGAGGCACGTGATGCCGCTTGTCTTAGTTGGACTTTGGTCGCTGGTTTGGGCGGTGTCTCCGTCATGGGGTGACCGTTCTCCCCGTGTGAGTGATAACCGTCTTGTGGGGAGATCCTTGGAGGCTACGGAAATGCTCGCTCATTTCAGCAGCGGCAGTGCGAGTTTCCTGAAACGGTAATGAATGTCGTAGTTGCCAAATGGCGATTTTCCCATGTCGGTGGTTCCTTTGGCATTGATGAGTTGGACTTCTGCTGTGAGAGAGAACCTCCCCTTCTGCCCGTTTTTCTGTTTATTCAGTGAGTTATTTGTGTCGGTACAGATATTTTGTTTTTATTCCATAGGTTATAACCCATTGCTGTCGCTCTCTTGTTGCCCTGATTGTCCGGATTTGGGCATTAGGAGCCCCTTAAGGGGGTTTGGCTTCTGTGTCCTCAGCCTTTTTGAGCACTTCCTTACTTTCTGGCATCACAAGATGTTCCAGGCTCACCTTGTGGTTTCCTCGACCTAGCCCAGAATCGGTCATTTCTCTAAGGAGTGCTGGTTCTTTTAGTGTAGACGGTGGTGTTGAGAAACCCAGATGTGGGTGCAGGTGTGCTCACTGCTACTGGAGTGCGGTTGCTTTTTAGCTTTCTCAGTGGGTGGAGCTAGGAAACATGTATTTGTGTACACCACATACATCGGGATCTGTTTCTATGTCTCCATATCTGTGTATTTACTAAAAACTGTGAGTTTACCTCAACACCTCCAGTTCTAGTCTGTTACCAGCGGGTTCCTTCCACAGTCCTTTTCCTCTCTGAATCTGGCTCCCATTTTCCTCAGTAGATTGACTTACTTGCTCAGTGCTAGACTATGCATACAGTAGTCTCAGAATTGCCAATGCATAAGCAAACCTACCAAGTAGATTATAGTATTTACGCACGGTTGTTTTGCTTTTGTCCCTAGAACATATAGTCAAAGTGCTGTTTGACAGAGTTGCTTTAGTGTGTTTATGTTATTCCTTTGTGATAAGTTAGGTTCACTTGTTTCTGTTTGTATTTCATTTTGAGTCTTTACTGATTTTCGGTTTCCCTATGTGAAAGAAACATTTATGTGGTTGTGAAAGTCAGCAGAGTCTAAGCTCTTAACTACAGCACTATTCAGCTTCTCTTCCATTTTATTTCTCATTTACTCATTATCATTGTGGCGGGGGGGGGGGCGGCGGCAAGGGAATTTGGCAGATGTAAACTCAAATAAAAAAGCACTGCATGCCCTGCCCTGGAGTGGTGCCCCTCACCTCCACCAAGTGCCAGTGATGGGATTAAGATCTTTCTGTTGCTCAACTCTCTTATTTCAGCTTTTACAAATGGTTGAGTACCACTTGGCAGTCAGTGAAGGACAGAAAGACGCCTTGGGGTCACAGGCCCGTAATTTTCACTCCCTAGCCCCCCTTAAAGATGATGCGTGCTGAGTTTGGCTCTCACGGCTCGCGTTGGGGTTCCAGAGGGTGGCAGCGTCGAGTCCGGTGTCTTGAGTGCAGAGCAGATGAGCCACCTCTGGACTTTCCTTCAAGTCCCAGGAAAATATTTTGTAAATTCAGCTCATTAAATGTATTTACAGAGCAACAAGAAGACAATGTTCCTGACTGAAGTAGATTTGGGTTCTTGTGCATTACGAGTGGTGGGGCTGGTCCTAGTAGTGGTGAGTGGAAAGCCAAACCCATCTGGGGCTGCATCCTTTCGGGGAAGGAGATGAAAAGAAACCCCCTCTTCGGATGTGTCTCTGACCAGCCAGTGTGCCTAATGGGCTTGTTTGTAAGCATCTCGTGACTTTTAGCCTGAGCGGATGGTCCTTTTGTATAAATTTTGGAGTCTGCAACTGCTTTTGTTTTATGGAGGTCATGTAATGCTTTTCCAATTAAGTACTGATGAAATGTTTTTTCTAAAACAGATTGCTCCAAATTTGTGGTCAGCCGAACAGAAGTGTGATTAATTCCACTGTCACATCTGCGGATCAGGTGACCTGCAGGTTCACCTCTGACTTGGATGTGTTTTGCTTTGATGATCTGGTCATCTTGGCAAGGGGTAAGATGGGGGTGGGCAGAACCATCCTCACCTGCTGCTTCCCTGTTTATCCAGGAGGTAGGCAGTGCAGTCAGCTTGCTGGAGAGCTGGGGCAAGGGCAGGGCAAGGCCAGCCCCTCTGCAGAGCCCACTGTGTTTGGGAAGTTCTTTCTCTTCCACGTAGCTCCTTTTCATACTTCCTTGGGACTCATCGTTTGTCTGGAACTCTTTCCTCTTAACTACAATACTAGCTGTTAAGGGGTCCTACTTGCAGCTCTGGCAGTCTTTGGCCCTGTCGTAATTTGTGAAGCAATATCTCAGAGACTGTCACTAGCTGGAAGCGCTGACTCCAGACCCTCCTTCTTTCTGTGCCCTGCGTGTGGAGTGTCACACCCTGGGCATTGTTCCCTTTGCTCTGATGAGGCTGGGCCCCGTGCTCAGGGTGAACCACTACAGACCCCGACCGTGGAGGTCGCCACGTTGCCTTGTTATTCCACGCCAGGGCTTTACCTGAGCTTTGTGGCCGGCCTGACCTGCTGTAACCCTGATTTCTCAGTGGTCCTGAGCGCCCTGCAACCAGCACAGGGACCACAGGCGGAGCAGGATGCCTAAGCCTCCTGAAGGCTAGGCAGGGCCCCTTCCTGCCCGGCCCTCTGGGCCGGGGCCTCCTGCACTCTGTCCTTCTGTCCAGAGCAGCCCTGCTCCACCCACCCCACCGACCACCACCACTCTCGATGTGGGGAGTCACCTCCTCTTCCCATTTGTTTCCCTGCTTCTGTCTTGCCTCAAAGAGGGTGACAGCCGGGCAGTGCGGGGACCTCACATGTGTCCCCAGCTGGTGGAACAGTGCCTGCCTCTAGTAAGTGCTGAATAGACACTTGTTAAATGAGTGAATTTAGGAAAGCTTACTGTGTCTGTGAGAATTACATTACCTAGTATCACTTTTTCTGGTTATAACAGAATATGGGTGTTTGCTCAGGAATGAAGCAAACACTTGTTGTCACCTTCTGTGTGCCGGGGATTGGGGGACAGAACAGAGTCTGAGGTGACCTCAGGACACACTTGGGGAGGCCCCTCAGCTGTCTGCTTGGGGGAAATACTTGGCAACCGACTGAATTTGAAGCCAGTAACTCCCATTTTTACTGAATTCCAAGCTTTTAAAGTCAGTGTCTGTAGTTTCTCTGTAATTCATTGATTACATCCGTAAACACATTTAAAGATCAAATTATTGTAGATCCAGAGTGCCTGAAGCTGAAGGGTGAGGGCCGGCGATCAGAGTGTGGGGTATTGGGCGTTCTCAGAGAAGGGCATCTTTTGCGCACCGCCGTCTGGCCCCCGGATGATGACGGGGCACTCAGTCTAGCCTCTGCGCCTGCCCTCTGGGCCTGTTGTGTGGGGGACCCAGCCCCCATCGTCTTGGGCCGATTTGCATCCATCCATCCCCGGAGTCCCGCCCTAGCAGTTTTGGGTGTCAGAATCCACCCGTTCTCTGCCAGGTGACGAGACTGGGACAGTGATGTGGTCTCTAGCATGCCCTGGTGAGGAGCAGCCCTCTGTGTCTTCCCCTGTCCTTGACAGACACATGGGCAGCAAGAGGTGTTTAGACACTTGTTAGCAATTTGATGAAGTTGTTTTATGCTGGTGAATCTAATAATTAGAAAATTGAGCTCATATATGTTTGGTTTTTTCTTACATTTTTTCCTAGCACTTTATTTTTATTGAGTTTTCCAAAAATATGAGTCCATGATGGATTGGAAAGGAAAGAACAAAGGAACCTGCTCCTGGGTGGTGAATCTCCAGGAGCCTGAGTTCCAGCTGGAGAGGGAGGAACGTGGGGCAGGAAGGGGCTTGGCTCTCAGGGGCCTGCCGCGGTCCAGTCCTAGCTCAGCTACTTAGCAGCCTCAGTTTTCGCATTTGCAGAATGGGGAGAGCGCTTCATGAGTCTGTTGTAAGGACCGAGCTCTTGTAGGTGGCAAACGGTGTTTCCTCTGGTTCCTTCTTCTTCCTCCGTGATCCTGGATTTACTGCCTGTTCCCTCTGCTGTAAAGTGACGATAGGGCGGAAAGAGCCCTTGGGGTCTGGGCCGAGGGGAGGTGCCTCGTGGCTCTCCCAGCTTCACAGTGTGACCAGACAGCTAGTGACTGGCCCAGAGCATCCCCCCACTTCCGTGACAGCCATCACCGTAGGTTGGGATCTGAGGTGGGCATTGCGAAAGGACAGTGAGCCCCTAAGTACCGCTGAGCCCGATGCCCACTTCCTCTTTGCTGCAGCTGCCACAATGCTGCCGCTGCCCTCGGAGCAGGCCCTGAATGAGCTGCTGGTTCGCAAGGAGGAGGAGTGGAGAGCGCTGCAGGCCCACCGCTCCCAGCTGCAGGAGGCAGCCCTGCAGGAGGCGCAGAACCGGCTGGAGGAAGCGCAGGGGAAGTTGCGGCGCCTGCAGGAGGACTTCGTCTACAATCTGCAGGTGCTGGAGGAGCGGGACTGCGAGCTGGAGCTCTATGACGCCGTGTTCGCCCAGGCCCGAGGGCTGGAGGAGGCCAGGCAGGCCGAGGTGAGCGAGCTCAAGATCGAAGTGGCCAAGCTGAGGCAGGCGCTCACCACGGAGGCCAGGCGGCTGGCAGACGTGCAGCAGCAGTACCAGCTGAAGTTGCAGGAGCATTGCCTGGAGCTGGATCGGGTCCACAGGTAAGGGGCAGGCAGACTCCTCTCTCCCTTGGAGCGCTTGGGGCCTCCACGCACCTGCCGCTCGGCTCGCCCGCTCGGCTCCCCCAGTGCTGCCTGGGCGCCCGCCCTGAATCAGTGTTTGTTGAGTGAAGGTAGACAAGACAACACCCTGTTGTCTTTTTCTGGATTCTGATACAAGTGAAATTATTGGAGAGTGGTTGAAATATGTGGAATTTTTTCCATGAATTACAAATCTCTATCATTGTAATAAAACGTACTTGAGCTTATAATCATTTGAATGATGTGAAATATATATTAATTTCAAAACTAAGTGAGCCGACTTGAGGCAAGTCAACTAAGAACCTGAGGCTCTGGTCAGAGGGTCCTGTTGGCTGGGCCTCTGGAAACTTGCTCACGTGTCACGGCCTCCTCCTCAGCACTGCTCAGTGATCCTGGTGGTGGTCTTTTGATGAGACAGGAAGAAAGAAAGATAAGACAGGTTCGTGTACAAATCTTGTGCTTCCTCTCCCCCTGATTTCAGAACGTGTGTTCCCCATATCAGGTTAACAGAGTGTGTCTTGCTAGGGCTTGTTCTCTGAGTGTGTGATGTGTGTGTCCGTGGATGTCACAGCCACAGCGTGCGTACTGCAGGTTCTGTTTTCACTTGACAAGATCCTGAAGAGTTTTCCCTGTCGTTACATATTCTTCTAAGGTAAAGAGCATTTAAGTACTTTCTTAAAATCACAAAGGTAATGTATTCTTATTGTAGAAAGTCATTTCACCCCGAAGATGGTGAGGCAGAAAGTAAAAACTACCTGAAGGGTCTGCTGTGTTTTCTCCGGGAGACCTCACGTTTCATACCTGAGTGGAGTCGTCCTGGGCACACTGTTGACCGTGGCTTCCAGCACTTCCCCTCCATTTGTGGCACCTCTTCTTCGTGTCATGCCTTGAGTTCTGCCACAGCCTTTTGGCAGGAGCCGCTGCTCCCTGGCCCTCTGTTGTGTGTGCTGGGCTCACTCCCTCAGACGGGCACAGAGCTGCCAGCGGGACAGCGGGAAGCGCTCCTCCGTAGCAGGAGGCTGTCTGCGGCAGCTCAGGGGCAAGAAGAAGAGACCCGCCTCAGTGGGTGCAGAGCCCCCTTGGCTCAGAAGCTGCTCAGAATTGCGCCGTGATGCACTTGAGGTACAGAGGCTGGTGCCTTTAGCACAGTGACACATATGGCCAAGTTGCCCTCCACGGAAATACTGATTTTCTTTCCCAGCTGTTTTTGAGAGTGTTGAAAGCATCCTTAAAGTGCTTTATGTTATCTTGTAAAGTGTCTCCCCAGGTCTTTTGCTCATTCTTTTTGCAAGTTTGGGACATTTTCAGCTGTTATTTCTTCAAATACCTTTTCAGCCCCACCCTCTTCTTAGCGTTCTGGGACTCCGATGACATGAACGTTGCATCTTTTGTTATTGTCCCACACGTCCCTGAGGCTCTATTTTTTGTGTTTTTTCCCCCAGTCTATTTCTCTCGGTTATTCCGATAATATTCAGGGGAATTTCTGTAGTTCTGTCTTCCAGTTGGCTGATTCTTTTCTCTACCGTATTCATCCTGCCGTTGAGTCCATCCAGTGAGCCTTTTGTTTTGGTTATTGTACTTCACTGTTCTCAAATTTCCATGTAATTCTCTGTCATGTTTTCTGTGCTGAGAGTTTACCTTTTCCGTTTGTTTTCAGAGTATACTAGGTTGCTTGTGGAAGCATTTTATGGTGGCGCTTTAATAAGATCTTTGTTCGATAATTCCAACATCTGTGTCATCTTGGTGTTGGCGTCTGTTGATGGTCTTTTCTCAGTCACATTGAGTTTTTCCTCGTTCTTGGCACGACTGCTGACTTTGGATTGTATCCTGGACACTCTGGGAATTATATGGGGAGACTCTGAATCCCATTTCCTGTAGTCTTTTACAGGCAGTACACAGGTCCAGGTGGGGGAAAGTGCTGCTGCCCCCTGGGTCCCGTGGAAGCCACCCCTGCAGAAGCAAAGCGCCAGCTCACGTTTGTAAAATTTACCTGTACGTGTGTCCGATGGTGACCACTGGTATGGCTTTTCTTAATGCTGCATTTTCTACGCAGTGACAAGAACAGTGAGATTGACCACCAGCGGGAACAGTATGAAAACCTGAAATGGAAGCTGGAGAGAAGACTTAAGGAGCTTGATGGCGAACTTGCTCTGCAGAGGCAGGTAAGGCATGCGGAGTCCAGTCGCTTCTCAGATGCCTGCCTTGCCCGCCCACTTTGAAAGCACAATTGCTCCAGGTTAAGGGAAAGACCATTTGTTAACTGTGTGGTATCCACGGGATCAAAGTGGACTTCTTGGGGCAGATTTCCATTCTGTGATGGTCTGGAGAGAAAGATGATGGGGTGTCTTCTTTCCCTAGAGTAACTCCCACAGTGTTCTCTTTTCTCCGAAATGAATAAACGTTTCCTCCCTTATTTATCGTAGGAAAAAGTATTACAAGGTTAAAATTTGAATAAACGTTTTCTCCCTTATTTATCATAGGAAAAAGTATTACAAAGTTAAAATTTGAGTTTATTTCCTGTAGGAAGAGCTGGGAACTCAAGTTGTGATAGCTGTATTTCTTTCAGCAAAACAACAAGTATTCGTAAGTTTAAGTATAGATGTGTCAACTGATGGGTGACACTTAAACCTGTCACCCAAATTTCTCCTCAGTGTCGTTGAAATGCAGGATACACCTCTGAGAGTCTGCACTGTGTTGGGGCTTGGTCTCAGGATTTCCTCCACATTTATGGCTGGATTCCACATCTGGCAGAGCTGTGTGTGTGCAGGGGTGACGTGGGCTGTGTGGGTGCTGGGGGCATATGGGGCTGTGTCTACATGGGTAATATGGGGCTGCATGGGTGCAGGGGTGACATGGGCTGCGTGTGTGCAGGGGTGACGGGCTGCATGTGTGCAGGATTGATGGGCTGCAAGCTTGCAGGGGTGATGTGGGGCTGCATGGGTGCAGAGGAGACGTGGTCAGTGTGTGTGCAAGTGTCACGGGCTGCATGTGTGCAGGGGTGATGTGGGCTGAGTGGGTGCAGGTGCCAGAGTGACGAGGTCCCCTTGGTCTCCTTCCAGGGTGTGCTGAGCTTATGTTGTTATAGCAACAGCCAGTGTTCATGAAAACTGTCTCCACATGCATGTGTGTGACTTTCTCTGCCCGTCACGACAGAGACACGATTTTGATCTGCATTTTACAGATGGGGGAGTGAGGTCCAGAGGCATTAGGTAACCACCCAAGATCCCCTTAATAAGTGGCAGATCTATAATTTGAGTCCAAGACGCCTCCAGCCTGTGAACTCTTAGCCGCTGTTATCCTGCTGCGGGATAACTACTCACACCTTATTTTTAGACTCATGTCCGTGATGTCGGAGAAGGAGCGGGATCGAGAAGTCAGCCTGTGCTGTGTCCCCGTCTGCCCCTTCTCAGAGTGATGCTGAGAGCCCCTGAACTCTGAGCTTGTCCCCTTGTCTCTCCGGGAAGGTGCCATGGGGCAGATTTGTACGGTGTGCCTGTGTGTGCTGGCTCTGTTCTAGGTACTGGGGTCAGCAGTTCTCAAGAAGGACAGACTTGTCATGCTGGCGGAGTAAGGCCTGACTGCCTGGCCCGCTGTCCCGTGGCACAACATCAGTGCCCTAGACAGGACAGCGTCCTGAGAGGCACAGGGCCAATCAGGACGGAAAGGCGCGACTGTCCTTCTGACCTTCATGCACTTCCCCGCGTGGCTGCGTCTGCCAACCGTGGCCGAGAAGGAGGAGGCGGAGGCCCCGCCAACGCCCAGGCTTAGTGTCCCAGAACATATCGCTCTTTCCTTCCCCGCTGGAAGCTGGAAGTTCATTGTCCATGATGCTGCCATTGCTCAGAACATCCTTTAGAGCTCTTGAAATTTCCTGCAGAGGACTTTCTGTGGGAATTCTTGGTGACCAAAGAACTTTGGTTGTTATGGGCAGGTTTGACTTTTGGAAAGAGCCCCAAGTCGTTAGAGCACCGAGCTGGGGCGTGAGCTGGGTGATCAGGAAAAGACCAGTTGTGACTTACGTGAGTAGTGAGGAGTCTCCTCAAGTGGCGCCAGCGTCACTTCCAAAGAAGGAGTTTCAGAAGGCTCTGGGCAGTGGCGGATCGTCCCAGTTAGCAGGCAGGCACTCGGTGGCACTTGGGGCAGCAGTGGCCCCGGGGGAGTTGTGGTCAGCTGTGCTGGCTGTCTGGGTGGCTCCCAGGGTGTCCACACTTGGAACCTCTGCTCTGACTCCAGCTCTTTCAGGCTTTGAGCTCCCACATCAACGAGGAGAACCCCTCACGGACGTCGGGAATGTTGGTTTTGTACCAGCCTGTCTCTGGGAGGAAGGAAACTTGATGTTTAAACTCTCCAGCTTTGGTGTTCTACCCATGGCTGCTGCCGGAATCTCGGGTGGCATTTGTCTAGTGGGTTCCGGAACAGTCTGAGCCCTGCCAGTTCTTGGGTGCGGTGTGCCTTTGCTTGAACCCTCTCTGCTGCCCTCCTCTTACCATTTCAGTGCTCGAACCAGGGTCTTCAGTGCTCATCAGCAATGTGGCTTCCTTTGAGTGGGTTCCCGGCCCTTGCTTCCAAAGATCTTTGTATCCCTTATTGACTTGTCAGAGGTAGAACTGATTCAGTGGTGATGGTGATTTTTCTCTTGAAAAATGAAACATAAGATGATGGGACCTGAGTTAGTCTGTTTAACTCTTATTAGACCTGCAAGTCATAGACTGTGGGCTTAAGGAAAGCTTCTTCTGTGTTGGTTAGCCGTCACAGGAGTAGAAGGCACTGGAGGAGAAACGGAATGATTAATTGATTCATTTCTTCATCTCAGAAATATTTTTTGAACACAAGGCAGGTGGCAGGCACCTTCACAGTTTCTGGCGTCAGGCCCCGGCTGCCCTGGGAGTGAGCTAACACAGTCGACACCTGAATAGGACTGTCTCTAGCTGCAGCGTCCCAAGGGCGTTGTCACCTGCATGACACAAGGAGGCAGGGTGGGTGGGGCTGACTTCTTACATAAGGTGGTTCGGGTGGCACTATGAGAAGAGGACATGTAAGCAAAGTCTGTAGGTGGTAAGGGGTGTGGGAGGGAGCAGCAGGCGCCCATGTGCTCAGGGAGCAAGTTCAGGGGGCCCAGGTGGGGGCGGCTGTGTGGGGCTCACAGGCCCTCGTGAGGATGGGCCTTTGCTCCAAGTGAGATGAGAAATTCTTGGGGGCTTTGAGCAGAGGTGCACCATGAGCTGAGTTGAGTTTTAGGAAGATCGTCTGCAGCTGTATTGAGGACAGAGTGTGGGGCTGGGGTAGCAGGGAGACCACAAGGAGGCTGCTGCAGCCCCAGGTGAGAGGTGGGGGTTTGGGCCACAAATAGGCCTCGGGGAGAAGAGAGCAGGTTCTGGACACACCTAGATGGCAGAGCCCGTGGACACGCTGATGGATCGGATCGGGTGAGAGAGGCAGGCGCCGAGGACACAGCTGGTTGGGGCTGAGCACCTGGTGGGTGACTTGCCGTGTATTGAGATGGGGAACTGTGCAGGGAGGATGGGGAGGGCGGTTGGTCAGGCTGCATGGGAGGTGGCTCCTGGACTTCTAGGAGGGCGTGTTGGGGAAGAGGAGACTGCCCGCTGCAGATTGGGGGTTCACGGAGTACAGAGCTGGGAGCCTGGGGCATCAACCAAAGGGCGAGTGTAGACAGAAGAGCCGTCCAGGCTGAGCCTTGAATGCAAGGATGGGGGAGGCAGGAGACGTCAGCCAGAGGACTGCAGGGTCCGGGCAGGGGAGGGAGAGCTAGCAGGAGAGGGGTGCCCAGGAGCAAGGGAAGAGGGTAGCCCAGAGGCAGGCATGAGCCTCGAGTCTCCAGGGTGAGGTGGGGGCTAGGAGTAGACGTGGGTGCAGCAGCGCATTGGGAGAGTGGGAAGTTCTTGTTCGTGGGTTCGACTGTACCTGCCAGTCTGGCCTGGGCTCCATCTGCGCGAGGGCTTCCTGCCCCTTGAGCGACGCAGCCTGCAGAACTTTGAGCAGAAACCGAATGCTTCATTATTTTGTAATGCGTTAGGATGAGTGAATGTCAATGATTTTTGTATTCTGGTTCCAGTAAGTGTTACTCATGTGACCCTTTATACTTCATTTTGCTTCTCCAAGGATAAAAACAGTAAACATGTGTTTTCAATTGTGCTTCTGCACAAGGCCCCCACTCGACCTTCAGAGAATGAGAGAAAGCCAGCTGTGCATTTATCGCCAGGCAGGTGTGCAGCTCCTGACCTGAGCTGAGTGGACTCCCTGTCCCGAAGATTGGGTGGCGCCAGTCACAGCGCCGGCTGGCAGCCTCAGGCCTCCCTGTAAGCTCCAAGTGGAGGTGGGACAGAGAGGCCCGAGGGGCTGGGCTCCCGGCTCCATCCCCCTCGGAGAGGGCCATGTCAGGCTCACTCTTACCCTGATGGGAGCTCAGAGGTGGGTGAAGGAGGCTCTTCCCTGCAGGAGTAAACCAAGAGAGGAAGATGGCCTCGAGGAATCCTGGGGACTGCATGGGGGAACTGTGAAGGGCGGTCCCGGGTGACAGCTGTGCAGTAGCCCAGGGAGTAGCCAGACTGGAGCGTGGAGACTGAGGGCCCCAGCAGGACAGCACTGCAGGAGAAGAAAGGGTCCTGCCGTGGGCTGTGTCTTGGGAAGTGGACACCACTAAGGAAACATGAGGGGACAAGACAGGCAGACAGGCAGGCAGGCAGGCAGGCAGGCAGACGGAGACGGGCAGACAAAGACAGACAGGCAGAGAAAGAGACAGACACAGAGGCAGGCAGGCAGGCAGTCAGACCAGACAGAGAGAGAGACAGGCAGACAAGTGAGACAGACAGGCAGGCAGGCAGGCAGACCAGACAGACAGACAGACAGACAAGCAAGCAGACCAAGACAGACAGGCAGACAGAGACAGACAGGCAGACAGAGATAGGCAAACATACAGAGACAGAGACAGATAGGCAGAGACAGGAGAGAGAGAGGAGAGTAATTCAAAACTCCAGGAGAAGCAAGGAGCTGTGTAAGACATGAACTGTGATCATTGTTTACTGTTGGGTGAGCAGTGAATAATTTTAGCATCCTAATAATTTATCCACTCTTGGCCTTTCAGCCTGTGGGTGAAGCTTGGAAGATGTTGTGTGTTTACAGAGCCGGGTGTAACGGAGCCAGGATGGCCACATTGGGAGGTGTGGGCTGCTCAACCGTTGCCTGTCGTAGCAAGGAACCAACGGACAGCACGGAACACTGACACAGGGAATGGTGGCGTGAGCGTGTTATTTGGAGACATAGACGGAGCAACAGGACAACCGTTAAAAGTGGGTGGTCTGGGCGGGGGCTGGGAAAGGGGGTCCCAGGGCCTCACGTTTCTCGTTGTAAGTCCTTCAGGAACTCTCTGTCTGTCCATGGCCAGTGGCTCACTCTGTGCAGAGCAGAAGCCAATAGGACTAGAGGGAGAAGTAGGCAGATCCACATCCATGGGGGCAAACTCAGGCTCTGAGCCCTCTGACGCCATTTGTGCAGATATTACAGATGGTGGGTCCTGCTGTCGCTTCTGCTGTCTTCTCCGAGTCGCTTCTCCAGTGCCTGTGAGGGGCTCCCTTTGCCAGGGACCTCTGCATCCTGCCGCTTCCTGACCATTTGCCTGTTGGTCATGCGTGGTGGGTCTCTGCTGGGACCCCAGTGGCCACCTTTCACCCTGAGCCCTTTCTGTTCCAGGAGCTGCTGCTGGAGTTTGAATGCGAAACGCAGAAGAGGGAGCACGAATTCCGCCTGTGGGCCGATGGCATGAGCAACGTGGTCTTAACGCACGAGCTCAAGGTAACGGGGACACCCTTCACGGGAGGCTGTGACAGTTTCCTCATCATAAGTGGGAAGCTCCTCCTGAGTGTGAGGCGGCCTGTGAACTGTGAGTTAGGGTTCACACAGAGGCCTCCTCCTTTGCTCATGGACTGAGGTCTCCGCCACATGGAGCTGGGGGTGCCACGGGGAGCAGTGTCCAGCATCGCACCTGCTGCCAGCCCTGCTCAGGAGTGACCGTCACTCTGCCCAGGCAGAGGAGCGCTGGTGCCGCTGCTCGGGTCCAGTTTCCCCGACCTCGTGGAAGTGCCTCCCCCAGGATGAACTGCCACCCGATCCTGGCCGAGATGCCCGAGACTCTGCAAACGCTGTCGTTGGCCTGTGTCCTCTCGTGAGTGCCTTGGAATGGGCCTATGAGGAGGTGCTGGTTGTCCCCCAATTTACAGCAGAGGAGGCCAGAGCGGGTGGGCAGCAGCCTGCCTGAAGCTCGTGCTCCTGGCCTCGGTGCTAGCCACCTCTCTGTGAACATGGCTCCTCTGAAGCACTAGCCGCCATATTGCCAGAGCATGCGTGAGGAGCATGCACACCTGACCTGTAGCACTGAGACAAGGACCAGCCTTGAGGGATGCTGCGATTGTGTAGGAGGACGAGGAAGTGGAAGATGACGCCTGGCCTGGCGCTCCCGGCTCCGACTGGTTATACCTGGGCCGGCATCCAGCCAGGTGTTGGTACGATGGAAACCCTGCCCTAGTGGTCGGCAAGGACCTGTCCCCCAGGCTGCCAGCCTCCCCACAGTGTCGGAGTCCAAGGGGCAGCGCTCGGCCAGCCGGGGGCCCCAGGGACCCTGGCAGTTCTATGTGGCTGGAGCCCAGGCCAGGCAACCCCCACCCCCAGTCTCACCTCCTGGCACAGACGGTAGTTCTCCCAGGAGCACCGGCCCGAGTTCTCCCTCTCTGCACGGGTCCCCCTGACTCCAGCCCTGGAGGAATGCTGCCCTCCGTCAGCCAGGGCTAGCAGGGATCCAGACCTCGAGGCTGGGGCTGCCGCACTGTGACCCTCACAAGGCCACTTTGGGGACTTCTGAGTGCCAGGGGAGAAAGGGCAGGCGGGACGTGTGAGGGCCACCCTGTGCTCCACAGCGTGGCAGGCACTGCTGTCAGAGGAGGGCGGCAGGGGGTGGGTGGCCTGGAGGACGTCCAGGGTACAGGCCCTGCCCCCACCTCCCTCTGCTGTGGGAGTCAGTTACAAACTCCTGAAGATGTGCCCTCCAGGACCTCACAGCTTCCACGTAGGAACTGATTTGGGTGCAGTGGCCGTTCCCGTCATCATATCCTACAGTCGAGGAACTGAGGCCTAGAGAGGTTATTTAAAAGTTGATTTGAGTGCCGTTGTTCAGCAGGGAGCCCCATTCTCACAGCCTCCACCTGCATGTGTGAGTCCAGTATTTACACAATATTCCACTCTTGTGTCTGGAGCGGAGTGGAGTTCTGTTCGTTGGTCTGTTAGAGTGACGGGCTTGGCCACACACAGGCCGTTGTGGGGTGTAGTGTGCTCTCCAGGTCACAAGTCTCCTGGGAGTTTTCACTGTGGGAGCGTGAGGACATTCTCTCTGTTTTATTGCTTCTTGAATTCTCATTTTCTTGAATTCTCATTTTTTTTCCCTTTCGATGCTGATGAAAGGGTAATAATGCCCACCTCTGACACCTCAGTTTGTTCCAATTATATCCTCATTTTGAATTCTTTTTGTCTCTCAAAGGTCAAACTATTGAACAAAGAGCTTGTGGCTCTGAAGGAAGCTGGAGCAAAGGCAGCAGAGTCTCTACAGAGCGCCGAGATGGCCAACTTGGAGCTGGAGAAAAGGCTGCAGCACAGAGCCTGGGAGCTCAGGGACCTCACCACGGTGAGAGATGCCCGGTGCGGAGCCTCTCCTGTCTCTCTTGGGTGGAGTTAGCTCCGTGCCTTGAGGTTTGGGCTCTGAGTCTGGAGGTTTTTGCCTGTCCTGGCTTATTCGTGGCAGGCTGGCTTTGCCGTAGTCCCTTACCCACTTTTTCCACAAATATTTCTTTTTAGGATAAAAGACTTAGAGGGTAAGCTTCACTCTGTGCAGCTGACCAGGAGAAAAGAAAAGGAAACGTGTAGGAAGAAGTGAGTATTTCTGGCTCCCGATGTTGATGGCCCCTGGTACAGGAGGGAGAACTGGCCGTGGGCAGCGAGGTTATGGTCCAGGACAGAGGGTCCCACCAGCTCGGGCCCGCTTGGCCTGCGAACTCGCTACTTTGGATCTGCTTTTACGCTCTGTGCAGGATTTTCTCCGTGATATTTAGGCTTTTTAGTGTTTTGAAACTAAAAGTGTTATTAACCAATTTGTCAGTTTTAGATGGCAGCGACAGTTGTTACTTTGGTGATGGTCACCTTCGTTTTAAATTACTGTGGCAGAATCACTCTGCCCTCCTGGCTTTATGCTCTCATGGTTCTCCAGAGCCTTCTCTTGCCGTTGAGAGGCGTGTGTTATCCCTCAGTGGGGGTAGTGTGCCTGGCAGGGCCGCAGTGGGTTCTCTGTGTGCCTGCCACTGCTGGGTGTCATGGGGCCCCCGGCACATAGGCAAGATGGCGGCCCCTGGGCAGTGACCCTGAGAAAGCAATGGGAGAGTGACCCCCACAACCTGAGATGTGTGAGGCCAGCAGGGTGCAGTGGGTGCTTGAAAAGGGACAGGGTGGGCTTCACGGGGGAGGGGAGATCGAGGATGGGTGGGCGTGGAAGAGTGCCTTCAGTTGGGAGGAACCCAGGCCTGGTGCCCTGTGGGCCCGGGAGACCCCAGGAGGGGCAGGGGTGGCGTCCGTCCCTTTCAGCTGCCTTTCTTTTCTGGAGAAACGTCATGGTGACTGTATATAAAACGCCACCTATGATGATTATGAAGATACCTCGTAATGAGGAGAGGTGATGGGTGGTGCATCATGGGCCATTTTTCTTGTATTTTTTGTTTTGTTGCCATGATGTTTGTGCAATATGTACAAATTGAGAAGAAAAACTCTTAAAAAATGGGTCTGTTTACTGCCTTTTCACCTGAATCAGATGTGTAGCTGGAAACTGCTTTCCAGTCCACTGGACAGGTGCCCATTGGCAGTGGAGAGAGGGGTCGTGCCCTCAGCTGGTGTCCAGCGCACAGGAGCACCTCCCAGGTGCAGCATGCTCGCCAGCACTGGTGGGGTGGGCATCAGCATTCTCAGCCCTGGATGGGAAGACTGAGGCTGAGTGGGCACCTGGGTGCATGAGCAGGTCACGGCAGAATGTGGCCACACCTGCACCGCCCCAGGCTGGTGGTGTGGGGACCGCTCGCTTAGCAGGCCAGGGGCCTGGCATCTAAGGCTTACTGAGTCAGTGTTTACGTGTGAGGAGTGATGAGCAAATGAACAACTTGCTGCTGGGAAGATAAATAGGCAGACCCTGCCCTACAGAAAGGAGCACACGTTCAGGATGCAACATGGGCACAGCACCCCCATAGCACAGAAAGGGTGAGAAACGCTGAAAGAGGTTCCTGGGTCTGGGGTTCAGAGCGGGGCCCTGCGTGAGGTGCTCTGGGACTCGCTGTGTTTCAGGCATGAGGAGCTCGACCATTGGGCCAGGGAAAGGGACGAGGTGCTGGCGGCGGTGAAGGGTGCCCACGTGGAGCAGCTGCGGGTGCTGGAGGCAAGGGCTCTGGAGCTGCAGGCCCACTGCGAGACCCTCAAACTGCAGCTCCGCAGGGCTGAGCGCAGGCAGATGGACGCCTTGAAGGAGAAGAATGCCGTCATTGACAAGTGAGTGTGCGGCGGGAGAGCCTAGCTTCTCATTTCATCCCTTTCAGGTAAAGGGACGTGGGCACTGGGGTGTGGGGAGTCACTCCTGTAGCTCTCTGGTCATTTTTCTCACCCATTCTTTTTTTTCCTTTTCCTTCTTTCAAATTGTGTAGTTAGTATGTGTGTACGTATGCATGAATGCAGCCATTTATTTGTTTGTGGTAAAATATACATAACATAAAATGTGCCATCTTAACCATTTCTAAGTGTAGAGTTCAGCAGCATTAAGCATGTTCACATTGTTGTGCAACCGTCACCCCCACCCATCTGCCGAAGCCTTTTCATCTTCCCAAACTGACACTGTCCCCATGAAACAACTCCCATCCCCTCCCCCAGCCCCTGGCACCCACCACTCTACTTTCTGTCTCCATGAATGTGACTCCTCTAGGTCCCACATGTGAGTGGAATCATGCAATATTTGTCCTTTTGTGACTGGCTTATTCCAAGATCCATGTTTTTGAGGTTCATCCATGTTGAAGCATGCGTCAGAATTTCCTTCCTTTTTAAGGCAGAAAAATATTCTGTCATATGAATAGACCACATTTTGTTTATCCATCATTCGTCGATGGACACTTGGGTTGTTTCTACCTTTGGCTGTTATAAATAGTGCTGCTGTGACTATGGGTATGCAAATATCTGTTCAGGTCTCTTTTTTCAGTTCTTTCGGGTATATACCCAGAAGTGGAATTGCTGGATCACATAGTAATTCTGTGTTTCACTTTTTGAGGAACTGCCAGACTATTTTCTGTGGCAGATGCACCGTTTTGCACACGGGTTCCAATTTCTCCCTTCACTGGTTTCTTTTTTTATTATTTATTTATTTATTTATTTTGTCGTGAGGAAGATCAGCCCTGAGCTAACATCCATGCTAATCCTCTTCTTTTTGTTGAGGAAGACCGGCTCTGAGCTAACATCTGTTGCCAATCCTCCTCCTTTTTTTTCCCCCAAAGCCCCAGTAGATAGTTATATGTCACAGTTGCATATCCTTCTAGTTGCTGTATGTGGGACGCGGCCTCAGCATGGCTGGAGAAGCGGTGCGTCGGTGCGCGCCCGGGATCTGAACCTGGGCCGCCAGTAACAGAGTGCGTGCAGTTAACTGCTAAGCCACGGGGCCGGCCCCACTGGTTTCTTTTTAAACCCATTCTTCTTTCCGGCATCTAGGCCGGCCCAGGACAGGTAAGCAGCCCTGTCCCACTGTGTCTCTGTCTAGGAGAAATGCAGACATGTAGAACCACTGTGATTGAAATTGTAGTTGTAACTGAACTCCAGTCTCCTGGCTGCCAGGAAGGAAGCGATCCTTAGAGAAGCTGTGTTTACTGAAGACCATTATAAGTTATTTGCCAGTATTTACTGTGCTTGGCAAATGGCTTTTTCCCTTTGTTTGGGAAATATTTCTTTTTTTTTTTTTTTTAATAATTTTATTTATTTATTTTTTTCCCCCAAAGCCCCAGTAGATAGTTGTATGTCATAGCTGCACAACCTTCTAGTTGCTGTATGTGGGACGCGGCCTCAGCATGGCCGGAGAAGCAGTGTGTCAGTGCGCGCCCGGGATCCGAACCCGGGGCGCCAGCAGCGGAGCGCGTGCACTTAACCGCTAAGCCACGGGGCCGGCCCTGTTTGGGAAATATTTCTGACTCTTTTACAGGGAATTATCTGCCAAATTATATTTCTATTTCAGAGGTAATGGTTCCTACAACTATAAAATACCAGGAAGTGAAAGCTTATTCAGGGGCGTTTCCTTCGATTTGGCGTATTGTTTTATTGTTTGGTCTATTAAATGCAAGCAACAGTAGTTAGAGAAGCTGAAGCAACTAGTCTGACGGGTGTATGTTTCCTGCTGATTCCTCCCTGCTGAGAAGGCTCTCTTTCTGGGCCCTTCTTGCAGGCCAGGACTCAAAGTCCAGTGGTCGGGATCTCCGGAGCTTCCTCACGTGGAAGCCCTGGGGCTGGCCTCCTTCCGCCTCTCCTCTCAACGTGTCCATCCTTGCGTTTCTTCCTGCTCCTCGGTGTGATTGGCCCAGCAGGCTGTGACCAGCAGCATCAGTGCCAGTCAGGCCTGGTGCTACCTGGGGCCACCCGTTCCCAGGAGAGAGCCTCATTCTCTGTGTCACGGTCTTGGCCTTCTGAGACATACTCTGCTTAAAATCAGCAACAGAAACAGCCCATATCTGGAGCTTGCTGTCTCACTGGTCCTGTTTGTGTTGATTTTGCTGAGAGCGTTAGTTCGTGAATGCCCCAATAGAGAAGCGATGACCCTGAGGAGGCTTCGTGAGAACCCACATGTGTCCCATGCGGCCGTATAACCTATAACCTAGAGATATGATGGGGTCACACAGCCATTTTAACTTTCTAGTACCCGCAGTTAAGACGCAAAAGAAATAGGTGAAGTTAACCTCAATAATGTAGTTTATTTAACTCGACATGTTTAAAATGTTATGGTGTTACATATCTTTAAAAAAAGTGATCAATATAAAATTATCAATAAAGAAAGATCATTCAACTTGCCTGAAAAAAACTATTACTGAGATGTTTTGCATTTTTTTTGCTGATAAGTTTTGAAACCACATCTCAATTCAGACTGGCCTCGGGCTCGGGAGCCACGTGTGGCCCATGGCCCCGTGTTGGACAGCGCAGATCTGAACACTTGACTGCAGGAGTCCAGGATTGGTAAGGGCGAATTATTGTGCTCTCCAGAGCACCGACCTGGTTGTGCTGGGATGTTCTTGGCAAACTGCAGCAGGAACCAGGAGCGCATGCATGACATGTGCAAAGCCCTCGCTGTAAGCACATCGTTTCATAGGTATTTGCTGGAAATCGAGAAGAAATAACAATATGGTTCTTGAGTTCCAGCAACTTCTCTTGTAACTGGGGAGGCCCAACACACACGTGGAATTGTGTAGGAACAACATCATGGAGCGTAATAGGAAGCTCAGAGTGAAACGTCCCACTGGTTGTTTGAGGCCTGGGCAGTCGACTTGCCAGGGCCGCCAGCTGCTCGCCTTTCCCACCTGGAAGATCAGAAAAGCCCCATTACAAATGACCTGCTGGCTGACATCCTTTGGCTCTTAGGACAGAGTTCCTGACAAACGGGTTGAGAGGAAGGTTGTACTTTCGAAATCCACATGAGGGCCCGGGTAGTTTGTGTCCCTTTGTCTCCTTGGCCACGTGCAGATGAGAGCGTGGAGCCAGAGGAGATCCTTTCATTTCCCTCTGTCATGTGAGACATGGGTGCTGGAGGCTTCGGGGCCCAAGTGTCTGGTGTGGCGCAGCCAGGCTGAAGGCCATCTCCTGGGAGCACCCCGCACCACCCCACATGTCCGACCTGGGACGCAGCTCCAGGTCAGCACACAAGGAGGAGGAGGAGGGGGCTGCCTTGTCAGGGGCTCGCTCGCTCCCACCTGCTGCTTTCTCACCCTGACAGCCATGCGGTACCGGAGCGGGGGATAATGGGTGCCTCAGGGGTGCTTGGTGGACCCCGGGTTGAGCAGCTCCCGCCTCCGAGCTCCTGTCACCAGCCCTGGGTCTTCGCTGGGTCTGTTCTGACGTTTCCAACTCTTTGCAGCCCTTTGGGTATAGAACGAGCTGTTCTATTTTAGGTGAGAGGTTGGTATGAGTTTGGGCAGATGGAACTAGAAATAATTTGTTGAAATTATATGAATAAATGATCTTCTTATGGTGCCGAATAATGTGGGAAATTCTGTACTTGACAGTCTTTCTCCCTCCTTTGAGAAGGTCTGTGACTTCAGCCTTATGACATGCTGTATCCAGGCAGGTTCAAAGAGGGTGCATTTCCTAGGGCAGCAGTAGAGCCGGAAGAATCTTAGTGTTTTCCCGAGCAGCATTGCCTTCCCCTGAGAGTGTGTAGGGTTGTGTCCATTTCCCGGAGTAATTCCCCCTCTTCATCCCCACCTGAGTGTTTAAGGCATTTTCCCCATTTGGTTTCACTGCAGTCCTTTCTGAACAGAGAAATCTTTTTGCTCTGAATAATGATAACCCTGGCTTGGCCAGGACTGAGGCTGTGGGACCCTGAGCCAGCCCCTGCCTGCCACAGCAGGGTCTGCCAATGAGCAGAGCAGTCTTTGCCCTGTCCTCGCGTGTCTGTGCCGGGGCGGGCAGGGCGCGAGGGCACCTGGGAGTATGGAGAGCACAAGGGTTCTCAGGCAGGGACTCGCACCTGGGGGAAGCTGGGCGGGAGAAGGAGGAGCCGACACACCCACCTCGTCCCTGTGGAGTCTGCTGACCCTTTGCTGAGGGCGTTTTCACCAATGCACCATCTTTGATCTTGGGGCTGAGCACTTCAAGCTGAAATGTTTAAAGAGCTTTCGCTATCAGGAAACTTGCTCCCTTCTTCTTCCCATCTTTGCCCATGTCTGGATAGGGGTTTGTCTAGTGCTCAGGGCAGCCGTACTCGGGCTTCTGATCAAAGGCCCTGTTAGCTGACGGCCCTTTGCCTTCTCTCGGCTCATCCACATCTGTGTGGCACACCAGGGCCCGACTGTGGGCCCGTGGCTCTGGGCATCGGCCCTTATGTGACCGCTAACGTCTATCCCACAGCACGCTGCGAGGAACTTGGGAAGGAAACGGGCCAGGGCTGCAAATAGGATGAACACCCAGCGGCCTTTCAAGCGGTTGGTTCTGTGGCTTCCGTAGTTAATATCTCTAGGTGTCTTCTCGGGAAATTTGTCCACTTTTTGGTGAATCTCCCAGGGAGCTTAAGGGTTTCTGTAGAACCTCAGTTTACTATTCAGTTTGAAAACGTGTGTTGAATGTCTACACGTTGAGGTGCCGTGCGAGGCGTGGCAAGAGACGCAAAGCTGAGTCAGACGGCGCCATCTCAAGACCGTAGGCTCCGCGGGACACGCCGTGGCCCACCTTTCCCCCTGTGCACCTGGCTTGGGCTTGCGTGTCGTAGGTATTTAGTAGATACCTGGGTTGGTGGGACGGCTGGGTGGATATTTCTTTCTGGGTGGGACCATTTCCGAATCTAGGCAAGGAAGCCTCTGTCCTGATGTGGAGACAGGAGCACAGAAGAGACCCTGACCGGTAGCGTTTCCCTTGAGGGCTGCGTACGTGTGTGTGAGTGTGAATGTGTGTATTTGTTGGGGACGCCGTGTGAAAGAGAGCTTGAGCGAGCAAGCGAGAACCACACTCACATTCATGGAACTTCCCTTCTTTGTTTAGACTTCAGGAAGACGCGGCAGCTCTAAAATCCGGCTGGGATGCCCAGATTGCTCGACTGTCCAAGGAGATGATCTCCAAAGACCTTCAGGTTCATTCGCTGCGGGAAGAAGAGGTGATGCTCAAGGCACAGCTGGCCAGATGCCAGCAGGACATCGGAAGGTGACTCTCCCAAGGCAAATCTTTTTACTGAGCGCATCCTAGGGGCCAGGCGCCATTCTAGGTGCTAAGGATGCAAAAGGGAACAGAATCAAGCCCCTGGCCTGGCCTCCTATTGGGGAAGCAAGACAAGAACCAGGAAGCAGAGCTAGAACGTCTGGTGTGGTCGCGACAAGGGAGAGTGAGAGCAAGGAAGAGTAGGAAGAACAGGCAATGGAGGGTGGGTAGAGAAGGCCTTTCGGTCAGAGGGTGGTTGTCAGTCCGTCACAGGGCCGTGAGAGGGTTGTACTGTTTGATCCTGTGTCAAGAATCACCTCTTGATGCCGTTTGTCTGATGGGTAATGTTCTCATGTCTTTTCATAGCAGTTGGAAGGAACACTTGAGTAAAGATAATATTCCACTAGCTTTCTTGAGGAATAGTGTAAATACAATACCCAGTTTAGCAGTATGTGTGGTATGTACGGCTGTATAACCACCGCTGCCGTAGGATATAAACCTTCCATCACCAGATGCCCTCAGGCCCCTCTGCAGTCCGTGCTCTGGCCTGGCACGCACTGAGCTGCTTTCCGTCACTGGGGGTGAGTTTGGCCTGATCTAAAATTTCATCTGAGTGGAGTCATACGGTATCTACCCTTCTGTATCTGGCTCTTTGGGTATTTATTTAAATATTTAGAAAAATATTTTCTATTTTTTCCACGTTGGTGTTGGTAATTTGTGTCTTTCAGTGAGTTGGTCCATTTTTCTGAATTGTTCATAATTGTTAACTTCATGGGCATAAAATTGTTTGTAGTATTTCTTTATTGTCCTTCTGACATGTATAAAGTCTGTAGTAATGTCCTCTCTTTCATTCTTGATATTGGTAATTTGTATTTTCTCTCTCTTTTTTTGGTTAGACTAACTAGAGGTTTATCAGTTTACAGGTGTTTTCGAAGAACCAGCGTTTGGTCTCATTGATTTTTCTCGATTGTTTTTCTGTTTTTAGTTTCGTTGATGTCTACTGTTATCCTCATTATTTTCTTTTTTCTATTTCCTTTGGCTTTAATTTTATGTTCTTTCGATAGTTCTAATGGTGGGATCTTAGATCATTAATTCTGGACCATTCCTCTTTTCTAAGAAATGTAAGCATTTCGTGCTATAAATTCCCTTTCAAGCACTTGTTTAGCTGCGCCCCACAAAACTTTATATTATTCAGTTTAAAATATTTTCTAATTTCCCTGGTGATTTCTTCTTTGATCCATGGGTTATTTACAAATGTGTTGCTTCATTTCCCATTATTTTGAGATTTCCAGGTATCATTTTGTTACTGCTTTCTAATTTAATTCTGTTTTGGGCAGAGAACCTATTCTGTATGACTTTAAATCTTCAGTACTTCCTTGTTTTATTGCTCTAGAATATGTCCCAGTCTCATGACTGTCTGATACGGACTTGAGAAGAACGTGTGTTCTACCGTTGGGCTCAGGGCTCTCTAAACATCAGCGAGGTCACCTTGGTTGATGGGCGTGTTCTCACCTTCTGTGTCCTCCCTGATTTTCTCTCTGCTTGTTCTGTCAGTTACTGAGAGGTATTGAACTCCCCACCTGTTGTTGTGGGTGAGCTGTCTTTCAGTTCCCGCATCGTGGAGTCTTCTGTGAAGGGCATCTGCATTTAGGATTGTTACGGCTTCTTGGCAAAGCACCAGCTCTCTCTTGTTCTGGTACCATTCCTTGTTCCTGAGTCTGCTTTGTCCCAGCCTGTTCCTGCTCAGAGTCTGCGTGGCTCGTCTTTCCACCCTTTTACTCTGACCTGTGCTTTGTGTAAGGTGCTTTTCTTATTGATAGTATGTGGCTGAGTCTTGTTTTTTTAATCCCGCGTGACAATCTCTGTCTGTTCATTGGAGTGTTTAGATAATTTAATGCTCTTGTTGCTGTGTCTGCATTTAAATCTCCAACTTCCTGTTTGCTTTGTGTTTTCCTCATGTTTTTTGTTTCTTATTTTCTCTGCTTTTTAAAAAATCAATTGTGTATTTTTTAGGATTCCACTTTCTTTTCGCTGTTGTCTCACGTAAACTTCTCTGTTTTATTTCTTTAGTGGTGGTTCTAAGATTTACAGTATGCACAGTCTGCCCATAATATTTACCTCTTCATGTAGGATATAGAATCCTTACAGCCTTCTGTTTCTTGTTTTTCCTCCTTTTTACTACTGTTGTCACACATTTTACTTTTATATTTACAGTCGTGTGCCGCATATCGATGTTTCAGTCAACAATGAGCCCCATAGATGGCGGCGGTCCCATTAGTGGTTAGTACCGTAGAGCCTAGGTGTGTAGAGGCTACACCATCTAGGTTGGTGTAAGTACACTCTGTGATGTTCGCACAATGATGAAATCGCCTGATGATGCAGTTCTCAGAATGTGTCCCTGCCGCTAAGAGACGCGTGATTGCGTGTGTAGTTACATGTACGTTGTTGATATTTCTTCTTTGAGCAGACAACTATCCTTCAATTAAAGACTTAAAATGAAGGGGCTGGCCCAGTGGCACAGCGGTATAGTTCATGTGTTCCACTTCAGTGGCCCTGGGTTCACCGGTTCGGATCCTGGGCGAGGACCAACTCACCGCTCATCAAGCCATGCTGTGGCGGCGTCCCACATAGAAGAACTAGAAGGACCTACAACTAGGATATACAACTATGTGCTGTGGGCTTTGGGGAGAAAAAAGAAAAAAAGAGGAAGATTGGCAACAAATGTTAGCTCAGGGCTGATCTTCTTTTTCTTCAAAAAAAAATCCTCACTCAACATTAGGAAATTTTCTATCTAAAAAAAAACTTAAAATGAAAACAAAAGTTTTATATTTTTTCCAGTATTTCTGATGCTTTTCTTTTTCTTTTCTTTCTTTCTTTTTTTTTTTTTTTTGGTGGGGAAGATTAGCCCTGAGCTAACATCCGTTGCCAAACTTCCTCTTTTTGCTGAGGAAGATTGGCCCTGGGCTAACATCCGTGCCCATCTTCCTCTACTTTATATGTGGGATGCCACCACAGCATGGCTTGATGAGCAGCGTGTAGGTCCACACCTGGGATCCGAACCTGCGAACCCCAGGCTGCTGAAGCAGAGTGCGCGAACCCAAACACTACACCACTGGGCCGGCCCCTGATGCTTTTCTTTTTTTAAACATCATGTTCAAAGTTCCATAAGGTGTCATTTTCCTTCAGCCTCCAAAACTTCCTTTAACGTTTGTCTGCTGCTCATGAATTATCTCAGCTTCTGTTTGATGGAAATTTCTCGCCTTTATCTTTTTGAAGCTTATTTTCACTGCATGAAAAATTCTAGGGGGACAGTTTTTTTCAGCATTTTAAGGATGTTTCATTGTTTCCTGGCTTTCAGTGTTTCTTGTGAGAGTTCTGTAGTCATTCTTTGTTCCTCTGGGTGTAATATGCCTTTTCCTCCAGTTTTTCCTTCTTCTCTTCATCCTTGGTTGTCAGAATGTGGATGTCACGTATCCTGGTGAGGACCCTTTTCTGCCCCCCTTCCTCTGGGGCTCCCTAGTCCTCACCTGTTAGTGTGTGGCTGGGGGTCCTGTCTCGCTGGGTCCCCGGCCTTTCTCCCGGCAGTGTCTAATCTGCTGTAAGGCTGGAGATGTTCATTTCAGATGTTTGACTTTTCATTTCTCTCATTATGTGTGTGGTCGCCTTTAATCTGGGAACATATTTATAATAGCTGTTTTAAAAGTATTTTTCTGCTAATTTCCACCACTCTTTGTTTCTGCTGTTTCTGCTGGCTGTTTTTTCTGTGGCACAGAGGCCACATCTTGCTGCTTCCTGGCGCATTTCTGTCGAGTGTCAGACATGGTGACCACCGCGTGGACAAGCATCTGAATTTGTTGTCTTCCTTGCACCAGTGCGGCCTCTTGTTTAGGCTGCAGTTGTCCCTGCAGATCAGCGTGGTTCTTCCCAGGCTTGTGTGAAATCTAGGGTGGGTATAGGGTGGCCTTCCCACGAGGGCCAGTTTAGCCCCACTATACGGTGGTGTCACCCCCGGGGATCTCCGCTGGTTGCTCTGGTGGTCCCCAAGGATGCTGCACTGGCTGGTGAGAGCCTGCACAGCCCATGAGTTCTTCCCAGCCGGCCTGGCCTGGCCTGCAGTGCTTTTGCCGCAGACTCGTCAGCCAGTTTTGAGGCGCCCCTGTGCAGATTTTGGGAGCTCCCTGCTCTTCAGTACTCTGCCTCCTAAAGTCCACCACCCACTTCAGCTTTGCCAACTCTGGTCTTTGTCTCTTCTGCATGGCAAGGCCCTCATGCTCTGCTGGGGTCCGCCCTCCCTGTGTGGGTGGGTGTAGAGGGCTCTGTATGGAGAAAGGGGATAGTGGTCGGGCTCATCTCTTGAGGTCACGTCTGTAAGGGATCACGGTCCTACACTGCCTGTTGTCCGGTAACTGAAAGCTGTTTCGTGTTTTTGTCCAGTGTCCTAGCTATTTACAGTGGGAAGGCAACCCTGGCAACACTGGCTCCGTCATGGCCACCAAATGATATTTTAGAGATTTATTTATATTTTGCAGTTACAAGCGTTAAAAAATCTATGTGTAATTGTGTTAGGCCTTTTCCTACCTTTGTTACTATTTCTTGGGTTTGGATTTCTCGTCCCTTTGTCTTTTATCCCTAGCTTCAAATGCCAACAGATATGTGGGTGATGAATGCTTGACCCAGGAATGACTCCTCCTCACCTTTGTCCTTCCCTCTCAGCATGAAGAGGGCGCAGATCAGTCCTGGCCAAGGTGAAGAAAGCTTGCTACTGATGGTCATCAGTGGACCCAGGGCAAGCTGAGAGGCACTGGGATGGAAACGCAGCCAGGAAGGGCCCTGGAGAGCAGGCATCACTTTCAAGTAGATCTGGTCTTAGCTGTTGAAGGCAGTGGTTTGCATTGCACCAGTACCTTTTGAATGTCCAGGACGAAGGTTTACTTTGTTTTAAAACCAGTGGCTTAAATTAACCAACATGATATGATCTCTCTTAGAAAGTAGCTTCTAGTAAATGTCTGCTGTACACTGGAGCAAGGCCCTGAATCGGATGCTGGAGCACAAAATCTACAAATGGCATCCCCTCTGTGCATCTAGTCCCTCCTCTGTTGCGTCCCCTGTCTCCCTCTTCCTCAGCATCGTACTTTGGGGCCTTTACAACCTCTGCTCAAAGTGGAGTCTGTTCCTGCTCCGTGGGAGACAAGTGCAGAGAGAGCGGGTGTTCAGGAACTTTTACAGCAGTTGGGTAGTGCTGTGACATTTCATCGTGTTTCACAAAAGTTTTGGTCATCAGTGCCACGGACACCACAGTTGAGAAGCCCTGTTCTAGCGCCATCCTCTAAAGATTTCTTGTGAGGAGGGTTCTATCTGTAGGTGATAAGCTTTGAGCCTTTGGGTCTTAAAATGTTGTTATTTTTGCCTTCTTATGTGAATGCTAATTTAGCTGGGTTTAGGATACTAGATTCCAAATCATTTTCCCTCTGGATTTTAAATCCATTGTGTGTTACTCTGTTATTGCTGTGTAACAAGTTACTGCCATCTTAGAGGCTTTAATCAACACCCATTTATATCTTGGTTTCTGTGGTCAGAAATCCTGGCACAACTCAGCTGGGTCCCCTGCTCAGCGTCTCACTAGGCTGGAATCAAGGTGTCGGCTGGGCTGCCCTTTCTTCTGAGGCTCAGGCTCCCCTTCCAGCTCACTCAGGTTGTCGGCAGAGGCCGTCCAGAGAGCCCCAGCATGCTGCTCCTGTGTGGCTGGGTGTGGCCGAGGAGAGGTCCAGTGCAGTCTGGTTCCCTCTCCCTCAGGCTTTTCTCTTTATCCCTGGTGCTCTGCACTTCCTCACCCAGTGGCTGTGTGTGTGGTTCTTTAAGCTCCTCCCTCTCTGGCACTTGGAGACGTCTCTCAATCTGAGGACACGTGGATTTCCTCCTTTGTTTCCTCGGTTATTTCTTCCCGTCCCTTCTGATCTCTAAACCTCCTATCAGATGGATGTTGGTCTTCCACATCTGGAGGGTTCTCTCTGTTTGGCTTCTAGCTCACTAGTGAGCTCTCTAGCTCTGTCCACTCTGCTCTTCAGTCCAGGCATTTCCAGGCGTTCCAGTGGTTTGCTTCTGTAGCTGTGAAACCCTCTCAAATTTCTCTGGTGTAACCATTTTTCTTTCTTTTTTTTTTAAGTTCATTGGCTTTCTTCCCTTCTCTTCTTACAAATTGGCTCTTCTCTTTCTTGAGTTTGATCACCTCTTTCACGGTGCTGGGTCCTCTTGGTGTTGGGTTCATCTCTGTACCTGAGCCTGTCCACAGGTGCCATTTCCCCCATGTCTACTTTACAGAAACGCCTCCCCGGCTGCCAGCCTGTGAACATGAGCGAGTGCATATGAGCACCGCCGGCCTAGAGGAGGCCCCGGAGGGATGTGACTGCGGCTCCTTGCCCATCCCATCTCCCCTGCGTCACACCTTTGCTTTTCACATCCAAGGGGACCTCAGGAAATCGTTAATGCTTGGCGGTTTTAACATCCTCATAGGTATAAGCAGCAGCTGTCTCTGGCAGCAGAAAGGGAGCAGAGCCTGGAACGTGATAAGGTACAGCTGGAACTGGACTGGCAACATCGCTGTGAGGGCCTAGAGAGGGACCAGTTCCAGAGGTCCGAGGATCTGATTCAGGCTCTGATCACGGCTAAAGAGCAGGTGTGTGCTTCCTAGGGCGAACGTCACGTGGCCTTCTCTCATTTCCTTCTGCGCCAGTGCCGTGGAGGCTGGGTTTGGGATCTGGCCAAGTTAGCCTTTAAATTTGAAAACCCTGAACTTCACTAATAACTCCGTTGTTACTTACAATAAGAAAAATGTCAGTAATGAAATATGTCCCTGCCCTGCCCACCAGCTTTTTACAGTGTTCTAGTACATGAGCCGTTTCTCTAACTGAGCAGTGCTGGGACGACTCCCCCGCCTACTGCGTGCAGCAGGCAAGGGCAGCCTGGGCTGCCGGGACTGGGCAGAAGGAGCTGCACCTGGAGCCCTGATGCCCGGCCACAGGAGGGCCAGCCCCCAGCCCTTGTTGTCACTCAGCCAGCTCCGATGGCCACGTGTTTCTCATGGTATTTCTCTCTTGTGTGTCTGCTGTCTGCTTCCTAGGAAGGGGTGGGAAGCTGCTCTCGACCCTGAAGGTTGGCACTGCTCCCTCGTAATCCACCAAGATGAACTGAGTCCCGTGTTTGTTCCCAGGTTACTGCCAAGCTCCAGGAGACAGAGCGGACACTGTGTGACCGGGAGGTGGTGCTGAAGGCCCTGACCCTAGAGCGAGACCAGGCCGTGCAGGCGCTGAGGACACACGGGCCCCTCCCCAAGAGGGAGGTGCAGGTTAGCACAGTGGCTGCCCTCCTCCCTGAGCCTCCCTTGCCGCCTCTTCCTCCTGGGCCCTGGGAAATGCCCACTCCCCCAGCCTCTCTCAATAGTGGCAGTGGGAAAAGAGTACCAGCTAGAACCAAAACTGGAGTTAGGTCTTTTCAGTTTTGTTCCTTTTTGGACGACTGTTTGCACAAACGGGCATTAAAGAGTTATACCAAATCTGTACTCAGAATCTTCTTTGTAACTTTAGTGTTTGAAATCTGAAAAAGCCCCAAATTCAAATATCACACTAGGGTAGATAGTTCATGTAAATTGGTTGTTATGGTATTTATCCCCAGAACTGTCTCCTGGGTTGTTTGTTCTGTGCCTCTGTCCTTGTAGCCCTGACTCTGTCTGGCAGTGACATTGGTGGTTAGTGCTTGTTGAGTCCCTATCCTGAGCCAGGCCCTGCCCCAGGAACTTCATGTCTGTTAACTCTTCATCTCTGACTTGGAGGTCGGAGCCATGGCGGCTGAGACACGGGGACTGTAAGTAACTGGCCTGAGCTGTCACAGCTTGGAAGGAGCAGAGCTGGGGTCTGAGCCTAGCCGCCCCAAGGCCCACAGTCAGAGGGGTCTGAGGGGCCACATGAGGCTGGGGGATGCAGCAGGAGGGGCTGATAGGTGAGGATTGTTCTAGGTCTGTGAATGGCTCTTATTTTTCCCTGCAGGTTTGTTTGTTTCAACGGGGTGTATTTACATGCAGTGAAACGGCCAGATTTTAAGTGTGCAGGTCAATGACATGAATGTACCCGTGTACCCACCCCTCTAACAAGATACGGATCATTTCTAGCCCCGCAAAAAGTTCCCCACACCCCCTCCTGTTGGTCCCCCTCCCACCCCTGGAGGCAGCTGCCGTTCTGATTTCTCTCCTCTTAGTTCGTTTCTCTGGCTATGGCTTGTCATGGGGACCCAGGTGGGCAAGGTTTTCTCCAAGACACTACTGTGGCCACACGTCCATAAGACCCAGATCCTAACCAGCGTTAGGAGTGTTCGTAACTTGTCATTCACTCACTCACATTTATTCAACACGCATTCTCCTAACAAGTATACCGAATCCAGGAACTTTATTTCTTCTCTCAAGAATTTTAAGTTCTAGTGCAGAGTCAGAGTTGACATTTGATGATTCTGTCTCGGTCATTCATGAGAATTGTCAGGACAGAGGAAACTGATCTGATGTTTGTGTGGACAGTTGGGCAGGAGCCACAGCCTCATGGAGGACGTGGCACATCAGCGTGGAGGCTCCTTCAGGCCTCAGCAACAGGAGGGAGCAGGACGGCTCGTGGGGAGGGACCAGCAGGTGGTCAGGACACTAGCATCCTGCCCACCACATTGCTGCTGGCCGCAGAGCCAGATAACTTCTTCATTTTAAAAATTGGAGATAATGCTTCCTGTCTTGCTCGTGTGATCGGTTTATGTTGCTGATTTTGGAAAATTCAGTGTGCCATCAAATATCCAGAAGGAAATCTCAGGGTACAGCAACAGGGCCCTTTTGTAATGGAAGCCTGGGTCTCTCCAGAGAAAGAACTAATAGGTTAGAGCTTTATCCCAAAGACGCTGTTGACGCACATAATCCATAAAAAATCTGTAAATCAAAATTGGAGTGAGTTTCTTATGAGCCAGACCTGAGGACCTTATAGCCCGAGAGAGTCCTTTCACAAAGGAGTGGAGCGCTCCAAAGAAGTGGGGATGTGCAGAGTGGTTATATACCGTCAAAAAGCATTTATCACATATGATTGGAATGTACCTTTTACAGTAGTCACGAGATTGCTTCGTCAGCACAGCAATTCGGTGAGCACAGCAGGTCAGCAATCAATCCCTAGCCTAGGGAGAGATGCTTATCCTTAAGGAAGTGCCTGATATGGGGGAAGTTACGTCCTCATCTTTAAGGACATTGTTCATTGGGACATAGTAAACACTTAAAGCAGACATGCAATGCATGCTCAACGGCCACCTTAGGCCCTTTTGGAAAAACAAGTTCAGGCCAAATTAGTTTTATACCAAGTGGCTTCCTCATATACTCCAATATGTCCTATCGCTTGTCATTTATTTATCAACACACTTCTTCGTACGTGGTGACTGAGCCATTGGGATACGACAATATGTTGATGGCTGTTTTTCTCTCCGCAAAGACTTCCTCATAGACTTAGCCGACCAGAGCCTGACACTGACTACAGGATCCCCGCGGGTTGAATGGTGGCCCCCCAAAGGATGTGTTGAAGTGCTAACCCCCAGGACCTCAGAATGTGACCTTGTTTGTAAATGGAGCTGTTGCAGATGTAATTAGTAAAGATGAGGTCACACTGGAGTAGGGTGGGCCCCTGATCTCACATGACTGGTGTTCTAATAAAAAGAACACCACGTGAAGGCAGAGACACACAGGTGGAAGGCCATGTGATGACGGAGGCAGAGACTGGAGTGAGGTAGCCACAAGCCAAGTAACGCCGTGGATTGCCAGTAAACCACCAGTATCTGGAAGAGGCCAGGAACGATTCCATCCAGATCTGAGAGGGAGTATTTGCTTCCACCCGAGCTGTGTTGGCTGAGTTTGGCATCACAGTGACTCCCAGCACATCACGTGTCTCGCCTCAGTGTCCCCTGTCCACCCAGGGCTCCTAAGGGAAGCCGTGTCGCCTGGCTGCTGTGAAATCTTGGAAATCCACAAGGAGAGGCGCCTTCCAGACCAGCACCAGGTGGTGGTTAGCCTGATCCTGTCTCAGACACCATCTCCCTGGCTCAAGTGCCCATTTTTTCAATAGTCTGACCTGTCCCTTTTATGAAAAGTTACTCACCCAGTTGTCCCGGGCAACGGAGCCACTGAAATCCTTAGGAAGACTTTCCAGGGGTGCCGGCCTTTTCCCCACCTGTCCAGCTGTCAGGCTGCAGGGGAGGGGCAAATGCAGATGTGAGGTGCGTGTTTCTGGGCTGTCTGTCCACTCTAGTCATGCTTGCACAGTGTGCACGTCACCAAATTGTCGAGAGCACAAATGTCCAGCTCGCCTGTCCTTGCTGGGTGTGATTCGTGCTCAGTGCAGAGTGGAGGGCAGCCCTGGGGCCTCTGGCTGCGACCGCCTTGGCTGGTGCTTGCCCTGTAGTCAGCGTTGTAGGCAGGCCAGGGTGTGCTGGGAGCTGAGCATCCGAGGGCTGAGCTGGAATTCACCTGAGGAAGGTAGTTTCTTGCCAGCCGTGCTGAGAAGACACTTCACTCCAGTGAGCAGATGCAGACAGCGACAGTTCCCTTTGCACAGGTGCACTGCAGGGTCCCCCAACTTGACCGTCCTCAGAAACCCCCCAGGAGCTTATGAAAATGCACACACCTCTGGGTCCCACCCAGACCTACCAGGCCAGACGCCGTTAGGGTCGAGCTCCAGAAGGTGTCTCTTAACAAGCCCCCTGGGAGATTTGTGATCACCCAGTGGTCAGGTTTGGGAACACTGATGTGGAAAATGCATTCCTTCAAGGTTCCAAAGAGGAGCAGGGGGGTCCCTGGCCTCCAGGATCACCCCGGTCTTGAGGGGCTCACAACAGGTGGTTTTTGCGTGGGTGGTATATATTACACAGGTACCTTCTGTAGAGCACAGAGAGAAAACAAATGTTTCTTCTTTCATCAAGGCCCCCCTGGCCCCTCCAGCCCAAGCTTTTCTTTGTTTTATTTTCCCCCCAGGCTGGCAGTTAAAAGAAGACATTTGTGTCCAAGCACCAGCTCAGCAGGTCAGGGAGGCCTCTCACTGGCTAATTGCTTTGTTAGGTAAACAAAGAGCCTTGGAAATAGTTTGGGGGTCAGGAACATCTGCGCCCCACCCATCCCGTGGAGAACCAGGGGACGGGCACCTTTGGTCCTGTACAGAGGGAGCCTGGCCATGGGGCCCCAGAGGTGAAGCGACGGGGGCACAGCAGAGCAGCACTCCAAGGCTGTCTGCCAACACAGACGGGTGTGGCAGCCTTGATAGGAGAGATGTGGCTTCAGGGCCAGGACCAGAGGTGGGGGAGGCTGCAGTGCAAGTTTCTGGCTGACACAATTGTCAGCCTTCCAAAACAGAAACCAGATTAAGAGGCAGAGCGTTTATTTGGGATCAAAGAGTTGTAATTTGGGAAGCACAGATTCAGACAGAAACCCAAAGAGTGTCCCACTAGGCAGTAAAAGTCAGGGGCTTTTAAAGGCAAAGAAGGGAAGTTCTATTACAAAGAATGTTAATTGGGGTTGGAGGCAGAGAGCTAGTCTTGGCTAAACGTTGATTGACTATTGACTCTATCTTCAGAAAGCCCACAATCCTGTCTTTGTGATCAGGATGTCCGTTCTCCTGCTGACGTCTCAAATAATGGCTTGTAAAACAAGTGTCATTTTGGCCCAGTCCAAAGGTTTGGCCCAGTCCAAGGTTCAAGACAGCAAGGCAGTGTCAGGGGAAGAGAGACAATCTCCCTCTGCCCTTTTCCCTAAGGCTCTTATGGCTGGCCAAATAATGAACAAGACAGGTTAGCAGGAGAAAATAATACCAAGTTTAATAACATGTATACATGGGAGAAAGCAGGGACACTGTGTTTTTCAACACAATAGCAGAAATTCTCGTCTTAAATACCATGTTCAGCCAACGACAAAGGAGGATGTTGGGGGTGGGGGGAGTCAGTTACAGGAGATTACCACTAAAGCACAGTAAACAAGAGTAAGGTTATTATGCAGATTTAAGGCCTCACCTTCCACATTGATAAGCCTCTAGAAATGAGGCCATCCCTCCCTCTTCCCAAAACAGAGAGGGAGATACCTTTACAAATGGAGATTTCCCTTATAAATGTAAATGTTTGGCAACTCCTTGCAGGGCCATCCAGAGAATGTGGCCAGAGAGACAGAACTTCCGATAAGATGGGCTTGTTGGTGCCTTTGCTATTGTAACATTTATCCTACGTTATCTTTACAGCCATCATGATAGATCTGTTCCAGGAAGGAGTTACTATGTCAAATTCTTTAGGCAGTTAGTG